TGGGTGATTTTTATTTAAGTTCTTTTGGACTGATGCAATGCAACACCCGCTGAGTGGCATTAAACAGCTTGAAAGATCAAAGACAATTTTTAATATAACTCCGACTGGATTCGTCTGAAAGAAGAAAGTCATATACACCTAGGATGCCTCGGGCGTGAGTAAAACGCAGCCTAATTTTCATTTTTGGGTGAACTAACCCTTTAAGTGTCAATTTTTTAAAATTGATATTTATACATCACCTGAAAGCTGAATAAATAAGCTTTCCATTGATGTATGGTTTGTTAGGATATGACAATATTTGGTTGAGATACAAAAAAATCTGGAATCTGAGGGTACAAAAACATCTAAATATTGAGAAAATCGCCTTTGAAGTTGTCCAAATGAAGTCCTTAGCAATGCGTATTACTAATCAAAAATTAAGCTTTGATATAACTATTTACTGTAGGAAATTTACAAAATATCTTCATGGAACATGATCTTGACTTAATATCCTAATGATTTTTGGCATACAAGAAAAATCTATAATTTTGACCCATACAATGTATTTTTGGCTATTGCTACAAATATACCCCAGCGACTTAAGACTGGTTTTGTGCTCCAGGGTCACATATCAGTTTTAGCACCTAAATTAATTACTACATTGACAGTAATGTTATCTTCTCATAAGGATGTGGGACGTGTCAGTGGATCGACATATTTGTTCAACCAATCAGATTTTAGGGTCTTAATAGAAGTTAAGAACTTAGGATTTCTCAAGTGTGGTGAGATCATCTCAAGTGTTTTTGGATCAACATCCTTGTTGGTAACATGTGTCTACTTGCCGTACCTTTTCAACGATACCCAGCTCTCCACTTTGAAGCACTTTTCGGACAATAGTTCCAGCCTTTTCGGCCACGGTGTAGGCTGAAGCCACCAGCCGCATCAACACCGCAGGGCTGCTCGCCATCACAGCGGCTGAAACAGAAAGCACACCTTCTGCAAAGAACCAGGGAACCAGGGGGAAGACAGCGGTTATGCAAGTCACTTATCTGATCATTACGAGGAATGAGATTCTTGCTGAAGTAAAACTTTAAAACTTGAAATACTACTGATCTGTCTTTTTGGTATCAGTGATTTTTGATTAGATTTTTTTTTCTTTATTTTATCAGCATTATGACACTGGCATTATCATGCATCATGTGACATATCATGTGGATGTTATGTAGATTAAAATAGATGTTTATGAAATGTTATTTATTTATTTGTTTTTAAATCATCCTGAATATTTTCCTTGGCATATTTGACCTGTTTTGCACGAAATGACTCGAATGGGATTTTAGTATTTTTTATTAGAGCTGTCAAAAGTTTTTGTTCACATATGTGTGTGTGCTGTGTATATTTATTATGTATATATAAATACAAACACACGCATGTATATATTTAAGAAAAATATGTAATGTTTATATATTAAATATAATATAAATTATATGAATATAAATATATACATGTAAATAATATACTGTATGTGTGTGCTTTTATATATACATAATAAATATACACAGTACACATACATATATTATGTAAACAAAAACTTTTATTTTGGAAGCGAATAATCGTTTGACGGCACTAATTTTTATATATTTTCATATATTGTTTTTTTTAATACTTTTATTATTATATTTATATTTTAACTATCTAATTTATTTGTGTGTAGATTTAAGCACTTCTGGCTAACTAGTCTCAATTTTTTTTCATGCTAGATTTGTTCATATGTATAATAATATTTGACACATTATCTTTGTATCTAACAGTAGTGACCCATATTGAGGGAAAGACAAGTAAAACACGCTTTGAGATAAGACTGTACGTGATTTTTGTCTAAACGTTTGAAAATATTAATAATAATATAATATAATCATTTATAATTTTGCATACAAGCGTCTGCTAAATTACAAAAAGTAAATAATTATCAATAATCATAATTCTTCTTTTTTGTTTGTTTGTTTGGTCGTTTTGTTCCAGTTGTAAGAGTATGAATCAGGTATTTATTTGATCACAAAACACAAAGCACATCAACCTTGACAATACTCATGAACTGTGTGAATAATTATGAAAAATGGTAGAGAACTCGAACTGTTTGAAGAGACCTGCTGAAGAACAATTAGCATGGAACCAAGGCACTGTTTTCCACATAATTTATCATTCATCCCCAAAACTTTCATACTCTTTCTTGTTACCACAGTGACACATTTATAAAACACATAAGGTTACTTCTTAACTCTTTAACCGTGGTATGATCGTTAGCGTGTATCATGCAATCGCGTGCAATGTTGAGGTGCAGACGGATATTTAGCAGTAATTGAGTATCGGTTTAATCTATAGCTGTGGTCTGTATGGTTTGTTAGGATATGACAATATTTGGTTGAGATACAAAAAAATCTGGAATCTGAGGGTACAAAAACATCTAAATATTGAGAAAATCGCCTTTGAAGTTGTCCAAATGAAGTCCTTAGCAATGCGTATTACTAATCAAAAATTAAGCTTTGATATAACTATTTACTGTAGGAAATTTACAAAATATCTTCATGGAACATGATCTTGACTTAATATCCTAATGATTTTTGGCATACAAGAAAAATCTATAATTTTGACCCATACAATGTATTTTTGGCTATTGCTACAAATATACCCCAGCGACTTAAGACTGGTTTTGTGCTCCAGGGTCACATATCAGTTTTAGCACCTAAATTAATTACTACATTGACAGTAATGTTATCTTCTCATAAGGATGTGGGACGTGTCAGTGGATCGACATATTTGTTCAACCAATCAGATTTTAGGGTCTTAATAGAAGTTAAGAACTTAGGATTTCTCAAGTGTGGTGAGATCATCTCAAGTGTTTTTGGATCAACATCCTTGTTGGTAACATGTGTCTACTTGCCGTACCTTTTCAACGATACCCAGCTCTCCACTTTGAAGCACTTTTCGGACAATAGTTCCAGCCTTTTCGGCCACGGTGTAGGCTGAAGCCACCAGCCGCATCAACACCGCAGGGCTGCTCGCCATCACAGCGGCTGAAACAGAAAGCACACCTTCTGCAAAGAACCAGGGGAAAAGTCAGAAGACAGCGGTTATGCAAGTCACTTATCTGATCATTACGAGGAATGAGATTCTTGCTGAAGTAAAACTTGAAATAATGACTTACTACTGATCTGTCTTTTTGGTATCAGTGATTTTTGATTAGATTTTTTTTTCTTTATTTTATCAGCATTATGACACTGGCATTATCATGCATCATGTGACATATCATGTGGATGTTATGTAGATTAAAATAGATGTTTATGAAATGTTATTTATTTATTTGTTTTTAAATCATCCTGAATATTTTCCTTGGCATATTTGACCTGTTTTGCACGAAATGACTCGAATGGGATTTTAGTATTTTTTATTAGAGCTGTCAAAAGTTTTTGTTCACATATGTGTGTGTGCTGTGTATATTTATTATGTATATATAAATACAAACACACGCATGTATATATTTAAGAAAAATATGTAATGTTTATATATTAAATATAATATAAATTATATGAATATAAATATATACATGTAAATAATATACTGTATGTGTGTGCTTTTATATATACATAATAAATATACACAGTACACATACATATATTATGTAAACAAAAACTTTTATTTTGGAAGCGAATAATCGTTTGACGGCACTAATTTTTATATATTTTCATATATTGTTTTTTTTAATACTTTTATTATTATATTTATATTTTAACTATCTAATTTATTTGTGTGTAGATTTAAGCACTTCTGGCTAACTAGTCTCAATTTTTTTTCATGCTAGATTTGTTCATATGTATAATAATATTTGACACATTATCTTTGTATCTAACAGTAGTGACCCATATTGAGGGAAAGACAAGTAAAACACGCTTTGAGATAAGACTGTACGTGATTTTTGTCTAAACGTTTGAAAATATTAATTCAATAATCATTTATAATTTTGCATACAAGCGTCTGCTAAATTACAAAAAGTAAATAATTATCAATAATCATAATTCTTCTTTTTTGTTTGTTTGGTCGTTTTGTTCCAGTTGTAAGAGTATGAATCAGGTATTTATTTGATCACAAAACACAAAGCACATCAACCTTGACAATACTCATGAACTGTGTGAATAATTATGAAAAATGGTAGAGAACTCGAACTGTTTGAAGAGACCTGCTGAAGAACAATTAGCATGGAACCAAGGCACTGTTTTCCACATAATTTATCATTCATCCCCAAAACTTTCATACTCTTTCTTGTTACCACAGTGACACATTTATAAAACACATAAGGTTACTTCTTAACTCTTTAACCGTGGTATGATCGTTAGCGTGTATCATGCAATCGCGTGCAATGTTGAGGTGCAGACGGATATTTAGCAGTAATTGAGTATCGGTTTAATCTATAGCTGTGGTCTTACTTTAATCGCAGTCTGTCCAGCGGGCGACCCAGAGTTCAGCGTTACCAGCGGTTCTCTGCACGGATTCCTATCGGACAGCTTCAATACAGGAAGGCGTCATGTAACGTTACGTCGTAGTTCTGGTCTTGCAGTGTCTTAGTGCCCGTTGTGTTGTGTTTTAGGATTAATTATTTAAAGGGGTCATATGATGCGATTTCAGTTGTTCCTTTCTCTTTGGAGTGTTACAAGCTCTTGGTGCATAAAGAAGATCTGTAAAGTTGCAAAGACTAAAGTCTCAAATCCAAAGAGATATTCTTTATAAAAGTTGAGAGTCAGCCACGCCCTCCTAAAACGGCTCGCTCTAACACGCCCCCACATATCTACCTCACTATGTGGGAAGATTTGCATAACGCCACCCAAATGTTCACGCAAAGAAAGAAGGCGTAACTTTTATTCTCGCTGTAGTATTGTTGCTGCAGCCATGTCATGAAGACGCTGTGTGCTTCGTTGTGAAAGCGAAACTATTTAGTTTGGTCTTCCAAAAGAGGACGATATCCGCGTCGTCATGCCTAGAGCTGAAAACTAGCTTTATTTATTTATTGGTTTGTTTCTGCCAACAACAAGGAAATTGAAACTTCATCTCTCTTCTGACTTTTTTTTTCTCACAATTTTGAGTTTATATCTCGCAATCTTTTTTTTCCTTCTCAGAGTTGTAAGAAAAAAAGGTTTGAACTGTGAGGTAAGAAATCACAATTTTCTTACCATGGCTGTTTTGTGTATTTGGGTTTTCCTGTCAATTTAAAAAAACAAAAAATCATATACAGTACTAATCTAATATACAGTAATATATGACAAAAATCAGACTTTGTATTTTATTTTACTTAAAGGGGTCATATGATGCTTTTTTTTAAAGATCATTATTTTGTGTATTTGGTGTAACAGAATATGTTGACATGCTTTAATGTTCAAAAAACACATTCTTTTTCAAATACTGTACATTATTGTAGGTCCTCTATGCCCCGCCTCTCTCAAACGCTTAGTTTTCTACAAAGTCCCTCCTTCCGACAAGCAGTCTGCTCTGATTGGCCAGCTGACCCAGTGCATTGTGATTGGCCGAACACCACAAGCACTCGTCGGAAATGTAACGCCCCTTACCATAATCACGAGCTTCATCTTTCAAAATAAATGTAAAGACAGAGCCCGAAAGGGGAACAGAGTCTCATGACAGACACAATGATGAATATGTGTTTGCAGCACACTAGCCACGGTTAAGACAGCTGACTCCACTGTGATGTAACCCTGTCTCTCTCATGACCCCTTTAAGAGACATTTCAGTAAAACCATTAGTGCCCCCCAAAAGTGTGTACAATTAGGCCCTTATTGTTATTGTAGTGATGTAGACCAGTGGTTCCCAACCCTGGTCCTGGAGGCACCCCAACACTGCACATTTTGCATGTCTCCTTTCTCTGACACACCAGTTTCAGCCCTTGGAGTCTCTCCTAATGAGCTGATGACCTGAATCAGGTGTGTTTGATTAAGGAGACATGCAAAACATGCAGTGTTGGGGTGCCTCCAGGACCAGGGTTGGGAATCACTGATGTAGACTATCAGTGTAGGCCTATTTGTGATTTCTGACAAATTACTAAACTGATTTAAGACAAAGAGCATAAAATAAATCTGAAATCATGCAGTCACATGCAACCGTCAATCCTTTTGTAGAAAATCATTTAAATAAATGCAATGTTTACAGAAAGAGGGATTCAGTTGATTACAGTATAGGCCAGGGGTGGCGAACGTCAGTCCTGGAGAGCCGCAGCCCTGCAGAGTTTTGCTTCAACCCTAATCAAACACACCTGAACAAGCTAATCAAGGTCTGAAGGGTTACTAGAAAGCTACAGGCAGGTGAGTTTTAATTAGGGTTGGAGCTGTACTCTGCAGGGCTGAGGCTCTCCAGGACCGGAGTTTGCCACCCCTGGTATAGGCCTATTCATTTTATAGTCATCCTCGACAAAGCTTTTGGGTGATAGTCCAGCTGAGAGCAAATTGAAGACCTTTGTCTTATTTCTGACCTTTAATTAGTAAAGTATATCTTTTTCTAATTGAATCCGAGAATCCTTCCTCGAGGAAGTCTTGTCTCTCAGTAATACATTTCAGCTCAATTAATTAATTTGGATAAGAGTGTTGACTAAAAATATGTGACATAGCCTATCTTCATTTGTTGGATGGGATTAAACGGTAAATTATTTATTCAAACTCAGAAGGAGGTGTATCTCTTTATATATACATATATATCAATAAAATAAAGAATTGTATTTAATGTGAATACAGGTAAATTGATCATTACTAAGATACATTAATATAATGCAAACAAGTTTTCCAAGTGCACTTTACAGATCTACATTTAGACTGTTTTCCTTATTGTCCAGATAGTTGCAAAGTTTGCTTGATTTCAAACACGTTCATCTATTGGCCATTGGCCTGTATCCCATCTCTCCTTCCAGCTGTTCGGCTGTTAAAGGGGTCATATGATGCGATTTCAATTTTTCCTTTCTCTTTGGAGTGTTACAAGCTCTTGGTGCATAAAGAAGATCTGTAAAGTTGCAAAGACTAAAGTCTCAAATCCAAAGAGATATTCTTTATAAAAGTTAAGAGTCAGATGACCCCTTTAAAGTTCCCAGGATGGGTTGACAATCTGGATTAAACACAGAATACACGCTCATTTCTCCAGGTTGTCGGGGTTTTGGGATTCGAAGGCCCTCATAGAGCCAGTAGAATAACGATATAACAAAAAATGGCAGGCCGAACTCAAGTTCTGAAAAAAGCCCCAGCAGCACGAGCCACAGCAGCACTTTAAGCAGGGTCAGATGGGCGAGGGCCACTCGCTGAAGCCAATGACCACATGTAGTATTCAACAAATAATGACTGTGGTCCTAAAATGACAGGAAAATATTAGATGAGTTTTATTAGACAAAAATGGCATGGTTAATTTGCAGTTTTATGTGTCATTTTGTTACTATCCTGTTTTTTAAGTAGTACGTGTTCTCATACCTCAGTGTGTGGACTTTGAGGGCAGGTGTTGGGCTTCTGTTCTGGTGTGCCAGTACACACTGTTGGAGAACCATCGCTTATTGCTTTCGTTTCACTCTGGATCACACGATCAGCAGGTTTCTTGGCTTCAGTCTGGCCTTTCTTTCGTGCTCTGAACTCAGCCAGCTTACGCTCCATATTTCATACCTGAAAACTGTAAACATAGGACAAATATATACATTAATCTGCGTTGAAATCGCTACCACGTTCACGTGTCAATATTATTTACCAGACTTCCGAATTAGTTTTGCACTGGTCGGCAAATGCTTCTGTCTAATGACTGTTGTTTGTTTGCTATAACACTAAAAGCTTGTTTCCTCCAAGGGGGCGCTTGGTGGCTCAAAAGCCAATTCCCGGACGTTTTTTTTTTTGCCTCAGTGAAATAATATATTATTTTAAGTTTATTAATTCCAATGAATAATACAATACATTTAAACGAAACAGTAAGTGCGCAGCAATCTCTATAAAATCAACGAGCACGTGATCTCTAGTAAATGCAAATCACTAGGTGCATTCGACTTGAAGCACCGCTACAGACGGCAGTCAACGAGAGTAGCCGCTTGCAGTCGGGGGCAGACTAAATTTCTAACTGGCATGCACTGCTTCAAGTCAGCCGCCGATCGGTCTGCGCAGCGCCGTATGAAGTCGAACGCACCTACTGACTAGCGCTGTGAAAAGTAACAGTTATCACGTGACTCATTTCAGCAAAGGAGCTAACAGTAATTTGACTAAAAATACACAGCAAAGAGATTAAATACGAAAACTATTTAGACCGATCGTGATCCACCAATTAGACATTTCTGGTCGCAAAGCCTCGCCAAATTTTTTTTATGATTTGAAGGTTCCATTGCAGTTCTATCTTATTTCTATGGTAGTTGTTGTTGCACACGGACACTTTCATGGCTGTACCCACCGGAAGTGTGCGGGCGTCCGCGTCACAGGAGAGGCTGTGGTAAGGTACTGGCTTCATCGATGGAAGTGCATAGAAATGTGTAAAATATTACTTGGGTATAAAATAACAAAATATTTACATTTGAAACTCATTGAAGAGAATGATCAGTCAGTGATTTTGCGGTAAGCGAAACTAACGTTACATTGATAGATGACAGCTGAACCTAGCAAAGCTTTAATTCATCATAACAACAACAACAGTAGCACATAATATCAATATTACGTGTATAATAATCTATGCAAGCAATCTGTGCAGCTATTTATTCAGTATATTTTAGTGTTATTTATTGGGTATTGCGTTTTTGCCCATAATCTGAACCAAAGCGTTGATGTGCTGTTTTTTTTATTTTTTATTAATCATATTTCTTAAATGTAAACCGGGGAGATTTTATTGTATATCGTAACATAATTTAAATCTTATTTGTTTTTTATCTAACTTAACTAAAAAACGGGGACGGTATGTTTTTTAATTGTTAAAGTAGGCTCCATATACTTTTATTAATTCATTTACAGTTCACATTTTGATGTATTGAAAAATCACACTTTGTAAAATATTTAATAGCCAACACTGTAGATAGAAAATGGGTCAAAATATTATATTACACTTTCTTGATTTTACAAAAACACCTTATAAAAGTAAAACAAATGTGAGAACATATGACAAATAATTTGTTTTCACAAACTTATGTATATAGATATTACAGCTTTTTCACTTTTCAAATGTTTTGTTAATAATGATGGTACAGAGCTGCCAGTGTTCCCATGTTGGAAAGAAAGAAGAACAAACCGTCAAGCTGATGTAGTGCCCTTCATTGATTAGTGTATGCATAAATCATCCTATAACATGTTGCAGCAGGGTTTAATTCCTCAAAAATGCCTTTGCAGATATCGGTAGTGAATCTTCCCTGTGGAGTGAGCCAGCATGGCCTCTGCCCCAGCACAGCAGTCCACACTCAGTGTAGAGCAGGCGAGAGGTGAGATGTCAGTCCTTAAATCATATGCTCAGGGGTCATGGCATGACTTAGACTCAGCCAGACTGTTGTCCCGTCCATTGCAGTTGTTCTTAGTGAGGTGATCCAGGCTTTCTCCGTGCCTGAGAACGCAGCACGCATGGAGGAAGCCAGAGAAAGCGCCTGCAATGACATGGGCAAGATGCTGCAGCTTGTGCTTCCTGTGGCCACTCAGATCCAACAGGAAGTCATCAAAGCATACGGCTTCAACAGTGAAGGAGAAGGTGAGATTAAATGTGCAAACATGTAAACATTACCGGCAGCCATATCACCCTATAGCCCAAGACTGGTTGCCCACTGAAGCTAAGCAGGGCTGAGCCTGGTCAGTACCTGGATGGGAGACCTCCTGGGAAAACTAGGTTGCTGTTGGAAGAGGTGTTAGTGAGGCCAGCAGGGGGTGCTCACCCTGTGGTCTGTGTGGGTCCTAACGCCCCAGTATAGTGACGGGGACACTATACTGTCAACAAGCACCGTCCTTCGGATGAGACGTTAAACCGAGGTCCTGACTCTCTGGTCATTAAAAAGCCTAGGATGAGGTGTGACCTCGGCATCCTGGCCAAATTTGCCCATTGGCCTCTGATCATCATGGCCTCCTAACAATCCCCATATCTACTGATTGGCTTCATCACTCTGTCTCCTCTCCACCAATAAGCTGGTGTGTGGTGGGCGTTCTGCCGCATTATGGCTGCCGTCGCATCATGCTGCACACTGGTGGTGGATGAGGAGATACCCCCTGACAATGTAAAGCGCTTTGAGTGCCTAGATAAGCACTATATAAATGTAATGAATTAAATAAAAATTTAAATTAATAAACGCAAACAAAATGCTGTCATTTAAACTGCTGCCTTTCGCCTTTCAGGTGTTCTCAAATTCGCCCGGCTGGTGAAGGTGTATGAAACTCAGGACCCAGAGATCGCAGCCATGTCAGTGAAACTCAAGAGTCTCCTACTGCCACCTCTCTCCACTCCTCCCATTGGCAGTGGCATCCCGAGCTCATAGAACAGCACAAACTCCCAGTTCATCAATTTCAAAACCGTTTCAACTATAAAAATGGTCTAGTGCAAACACATTCAGGTTTTCCCATTTTAGTCAGTTTTAACACTTCTTTCAAGGGTGATTTAAACTGAGATGAAGTTCAAATTGCACCACAGAAGAATATTTGAATAAAAAGAAAACAAGTTATTGGTGAACTTATACATTCTCATTTTTTGTCAGTGAAATTAGTATTCAAACCATGGTCTTGCTCACCATTTATTTTTTGTATTCATATCCATTTTGCCATGTTGAATGTGCATATTTATCAAGCGTAACACTAATTTGTTGATGCCTTTTGAAGGTTTTGATGGTTTTTAAAGCTTTTTATACAGTTCGTATTGATTATTGTCTCATTTGGTCATACAATCATAAATGATAACCTGTGACATTGTTCTTGTGATCATTACTGTTTGAAAAACTGATTAGTGTCACATAAACAGTGTTCACCAATAAAGTAATTTTTTTACTTAATGGAAAAGTGTTCGTTATCATGAAATGACCTTGCTTTTATTAATGTCTTTCTCAGTATTTTAGTTTTCTTTGTCTTAGTCAACAAAACATGCAAACAGCATTAAGGCCAGTGAGTCCACATTCCAAGTTGGGACAGACTGCTTCAGTGGTGTGCTGTGAGCTGGAGTCGTTTACAGACTCAAAATGATTCAAATTTAAGCCAATGGTCTGCTGCTGAAACAAATCCACCTGATGATAGAGAATGTTTTAAATGTGGACAGAAAGGGCATCTTGCCCGTGTGTCACGAATCCGGTCCGTATTCTTCTGTCTGCTCCCCACCAGAGGTCGCCTTCTGATTATATTGACTATCACACTACACGGACTTCCATATGTCACCATGGACTACATTTCTCATGCTCCATTTCACTGATTACGTTTACACCTGCAGCCAATTACACCCACTATAAGAATCCGTCTCAAACAACCATTCACTGCCGAGTATTGTACGTATGTATCACTGTTCTGCTGATAGCATTATTATGGAGCCAGTTTCCTAGTTCAGTCAAGTCATTGCCCTGTCTAGGTTAGCCGTGTTTTTGGATTTCGCCTGTCTTGGATTGCCCCTCTTGTCTTGCCCTGTTCGGATACTGTTTACCCCTCGCCTGAACCATCACCTGTGTTTCGGATTAACACTTTGGATTACCCTGTTTGGACATTGTTCGCCAGAGATCGACCACGCCCACTCACTGGATTACTCTTCTGTCTTGCCTAGTCTGTCACTGTTCGCTATTATCGATCCCTGCCTGTTTTGACCATGCTCTTGTTAAATAAAGCCTGCAAATGGATCCGCATGCCTCTGTCTCGCATCTCTCCGCAACAACCTTAATTGTAGGCACCCCTCTAGGAAGTGTAAATGTTGTTGCAAGCTTGGCCATTTAGACCAATATCTATTTAAGTTCTGTAAAAATCCTAAGAAGGGGTATTAGGAAAACTCAGAAAAATAATTCCTCTCTGTCTGAAAGTGAAATTGCAAAATTTAGGAAACTGTTAAACCTGGAATAGGGGTCAGCAACCTCTGGTTCTTGTGATAAAACTGACCTTCGTCCTTTTGTTCATGTATTGTTAGGAGGCCAGCAGTGCTGCTTAATCGATAAAGGTGCAACAGTTTCTTTCACAAATTTTCCTCTCAAAACCACATCTGATTCTTTGTACACAGAAAAGTTGAATGGTATAAAAATGTATTATAAATCTGTTCCCGTGCCTCTCATTCTGGCAAACTCAGATAATGTACACTTGACAGAATTCTGGGTTGGTGAAAATACTGTAGGCACTATCATTGGTGCTGATATTTTGGAAAACATATAAGCTGATGTTTTGCTTTCATCGGATAAATTTGTTCTTGGCTGCAATGAAGCAATTCACTTATCTCATGCTGGTCCCCACCATGATTCAGGATATGCTGTGGCTGAAGTTGTAAGTCTAGTAGTGGAAGTATATAATTTCTAAATTCCTGGATGTTTGGGCAAAAGAAGAATTTGAGAAATTGTGGAATTGCGCAAATTCGGCCACTTAACATCCCAGGTTCTATGCATGTTGCCAAAGCCAAAAAAAAGATGCTAGAATAGGAGCTGAAAAGGTTAAACAAGAGTTATATAAACGGGGAATTTTATAGTTCCTTGCTCCTCCCCACCAACTCCCCTATTTGGCTGGTCAGAAAGCTTGATGGGAGTTTGCATTTAACCATTGACTACACAGCTTTGAATGCATTTCCACAAAGGTACATCCCCTGGTGGCTAACCCAGTAAATATTTTGCATTAAAAATAGGATCTGATCATTGTTATTTTACTGCTTTGCACATTTCTAATGGTTTCTGGACTTGCCCCTTACCCCCAGAAGATCAAGCTAAATTAACTTTAACCAGCAGCCAGCAACTTGGACTCATTTGCCACAGGGATTCTGCTACTCCCCAGTGCTGTTTCACCAGTTACTTGCATCATTTATTGACCCTGTTCACAAGACAGTTGAATATGACAGGTCTGTCATTCTCCAGTATGTAGATGACATTGATTGCTAGCCCAAAAAAGTTTAAATATTTGATTGCTGAACAAACAGTTTTGAATGGGGGTTTCAAAGTAAATTTGAAGAGAGCACAGCTAGCACGACCCGAAGTAACCTATCTGGGCCAGATCATCAGAGTTCATAGCCAAGGAAATCACTCCAGAAAGAATTAAGGTCATTGTCGAACTGCCAAAAATCGAACACTGCCACTGGTCTAAGGCAAGTAATGGGACTTCTGAAATACTGCCGC